GCTGCAGATGTGGAAAAACTGAGTGTTTGTAGAAGCCATAGTTAACTGGTAACTCTGTAAATGCTCTAGAAAACATATAAGTAAATGGGAGATCAGGAAAAGAAGATAAACAAAAAATGTAGGGAAAAATACTCCATCTAATTAGCTATGAGAGGTATCCAGGAAAACATTAAATATATATATCAGGTAATATATAAGGATGATTTTTCTGGAATACAAAGACTTCAGACATATGAAGTTTTCAGTGTACAAAGCTGCCATATACTGTAATGTTCTGTACAGAGTCATCTAGTCACAAAACAGCTCTGAGACAAAGTGAGAGTATTATAATCAAATATACACAAGTGCCATATTAAGACATAAAAAGGGATGTGATTGTTTTGCAAGCATGATAGGACACAATTTCTGACTGTAAGATAAAACTGGCAGTATTATTTTAATATCTTGTTTGAAAAACATGGGTAAAGCAGGAAAGTGAGACATAATATTTTCTGTTCTCAGTGCTTATGGAGTTAAGTCTGTAAGTTGGAAAACACCAAGATGTATAGAAATGTGGTTTTTGTTATTCAAAGCATAAAGAATTCACACTTCTTTAACGCTTTGGTTTGTAATAGTAAAGCCAGCAGATGTCATGTGCTCAGATCTGTGCTGACCTTGAGTGCACCAAATTCAGCTCAGTGGTAGAACAAACATTATCACTGAGGTTTGTATCATTAGTAGAGCTTTGCTCCTGCCTCACTAAGGGGGCAGTGTTAAAGTGAGAAAGGGGCTGTTTGGGGCAGTGTTAAAATGAGTAAATACATGGCTAGATGCAATTCAACATAGAGTTGCACTCCATCTTCTCTTCACATGCTGTATTTTAAGGCATACAAGACATTTCTATTAAAAGGCCAGTTGTATTTTAACACATTCTCTGAATGTGATGGGAAGCCAGTAATGCCTGATCTCCAAAGAAAAAGAGACTTGGGGGTAAAAAGGTAAACCAGCTCATTCTTACCTTTTGCTGTAGAAATTAAGACACTGAATTTGTAGAACGGAATAAACCAGACTAGACTAGACTGGAGCAGACCATTACCTGGTCCAACTGCCTGACCACTTCAGGGCTGACCAAAAGTTAAAGCCTGTTGAAGGGCATTGTCTAAATGCCTTGTAAACACTGACAGGCTCAGGGCATCAACCACCTCTCCAGGCAGCCTTTTTAGGAGCTTGATCACTCTCTTGATAAAGAAATCCTTCCTAACATCAAGTCTAAATAGCTGGAAAGAGAATATCTTGAATTAAGAATATAGTCTATATTTTTGGTATTTCGTGACATTCCTAGAACAAAACATGTTCATCTGAGGAATTCTTAAAAGCGGGAATCACTTTCATTCCCTGCAATTTAACAAATCCAGTGCAAGGTCTTAAAACTCTCTCTTGGCCCATCCCCATTTTCCAGAAAAACAGAATTCAGTTCAAGAAGCTTCTCTAGCTCTGCTCCAATCCTGCTGTTCATCTGGCGATGCTGGATACTGCTTGAAGACACCAGAACAAAGTTTAATTCAGGACATTTAAGAAATTACTTTACTTGATGTAGGGAAGTTAGAAATATTTTTATAATTTTTTTAAACTTTTGTGTGCAAGTTACTTATTCTTGCTTACAAAGTAGAGCAAAATATGATGCTATACAAAACCAAAGGAATTAAATAGGAATTCAAAATCTCTGTCAATAGTCAACTCCAGTTGGTGCAGAGACAGCAGCTCGTGTGCTGTGAGCACACTCAACATCAAGGCTTGATGTCCATCCCAAAGGACATGCCCAACTCTGGATCAAATGGCAGTGCAACTTGATCTAGATGGGGTGTGAAATCGCAGCACATGCTTGTCAAATTATCCAGAGTGCATGGCAGGGTGTTTATGAAGGTTCTGGCTTGGCTGTGTGTTGGCTTGCTAAGGACAAACAGTGCTGGCCTAATAAAAACTCTGCTGCTACTTAGTTACTTCTAGGAGATTTTTTAGCAAAATTGGAAGTACTACAGTGAGTTTGTACAGATTCCTGCTTGTAGTGTTTTTGCGACACGCTCGTTTAGTCTGTTCTGCCTCCTTGCAGGCACACAGCTGCTAAGGCAGAGGTAGGAGAGTTGCACAGCCACATCACCGGGCGTGGGTATATTATCACTTATTCAAAATAGGCTCCAAAATTCAGGTTACCAACTTTTAAAGATATTTTTAAAGAGCTATGTTTAGGTACTTGACTAAAAGCATGTGGAAAGGGACATGAAGTAGGAAGAGTGTGATGTTAGTCCATGTTAACATCTTTTTTCTATTATAATCTATTTTTATATTTTCTGTTTTCCTATTTGTCTCTTTTGAGTTAAAAGACAAACTTTTATTTCCATCTAGTGCTTTTGATTTATGAATTTATTGAGCGTCTAATTGGGCATAATGTAGTTTGAGGTTTATGATGTGAAGAACAATTAAAGTGAGCAAACTGTTAAATTAAGCAGTTTGGGCCTAATTCTCTGTAACTTCTACAGCAATTTCTACTAACACAAAATAACTAGCAGTCTTCTGCTAAATGGAGTAGCCTAGACTTCAATATATGTCAGTGTAACACAAGTGTGAATTGTATCATTATTTGTTAGTGTTTTATAAATATTTTATAATGCTGTGAATGGTTAAAAAAAGGCACAGAATGTCTGCTGATTACACAACCACCTGACCCTGAAAGTAGATACAAGTAGGCTGGAAGACAGGATTTGAAATCAAAATTATTGCAATAGAAATAATCAAAAATACTGAATGCACATCAGCAAAGAGAAGTGAAAAGTAATGTACTCAGGGATACTCAGTTAAATAAAAACAGGCTGAGAAACAACTGACTTAATAAATTTGAAGGGAAAAATCTGGATAATGGATCAGGACTGATGGCAATTCAACAAAGTCATTAGTCACCAAAGAACCAGGATAACTGCACTGAGATGCCTGAGCAGGTCAGTTGCCTGCAGCACATCCTACATCATGTCTGTATTTCACAGTCCAGCTGAATCCTAGTTTGGGGAAGAGGCATTCATGAAAGAGCTGACTTGGTGATTCCAGGAGGCAGAAGGATCAGAAGTGTGAAACACAGCAGGGTGAAAAGAAATGTGATGAGTCTTCCAAGGCACTGGGGACTGTTGCAGAGGAGGAGCAAATAACTTCTGCACACTCATGGCAAACAGAATCAAATGCATTTCTCTTGCTGTCCATACGGAGGCAAGGTTGTAAATTCCAGCAAGGAGTATTTAGAGTGGGAAGTAGGAAAAAAATCTGAATGTAAGTACCACAGTGCTCCAGTATGGATTACCCAGGGAGGCTGATGCAGCTCCAGCACTGCATATTTATAGGTTTGACACCATGTCATGGATGCCATCTGGATAGAGGCTGGATTCCATGCTTTTTTGATGATTCCACCGAAGACCATGATGCAATCAAAACACCAATATCAGTGATCAGACTCAAATATAGATTGAATTATGGTGCTGTGCATGTACATGTGTAGCTCTTGACTCCAGACTGGCAAGAGTTTGGCCTGATACTTGTCTTAACAGAAGAAACAACTGACCACAGACTGGGTACAAGGCTGGGAGAGCCAAAACCACAGCATGCACAAAGAAGAAGAAAGGCCTGGAGCATTCTGAAAATATACAACCTTCTTGTTTTGAAACAGTGTGTGGATACAGTGGAACATCTTTCATAGCCATTAATATTTGTAAAGATCAGCTCATCTTAGCAACCAGTTCTAAAAATGGAGTGCAGGCTCCCACAAACTTCATCGTGTCACATCCAGGAGGAAGTGATTTTGTTACTGTGCAGGGACTTCTACTGTATTAATTACAGCCAACAATATCAAAGCAGTGTGCAGTAGTATGAGATAACATTTCTTATCCCATAACATTTCCACAGATAGGGCAGTATAACGAGTAATATATTCCCTGAGGAGATTAAAAAACACCTCTTGGTATTCTGGGGTTTTAACATTTAAAAGCTCCACCGTTTTTGTAGGATGTTCTATCACTGAGAAATGTGAGTAGCTGGAAAAGGTTTCTTTCTGCATTAGTCTGCACTTCTCTCTCTCATTTCCTTCTCTTCCTACATCTTTCTCAGTTTGACCTATATAACATGACTGACATGTATACAACATATACCACATTAAGAAATAGGAGAATAATGGCTTGTATCACAAAAGTGTGACAGTGTCTGACACTCAGATACCAGAAGAGGAACACCACACTGAAAACTGAATGTCCTTTCTTAGCTATTGTCCACATCTTTGGGTGTGGCAATCACAGGCAATTACAGGAAGAATCAGTCTATTTCAGGAGAGCAAATATCAGCATTAATTATAGTTGTGGGGATAATTTGTATTGTTTATTCTTTTGTTAAGTTTCTTTTTGTGAGACACAAGGGACTGATACTTATTGCACAACTTTTGAATCCAGACAGCAGGTCTGTATTTCCATTTTTATTCTTACTGCATTCTGAATAGCTGTCAAAATGATAAGCAGCATGCAGTGTGGATTACATACACTGACAGACAGGATGTACAACAGGGATCAAAGGAGGAAGTGGGAAAGAGACCAAAATTCGGGTGAAAAAGGCTTTAAAGATTCTGCAAAACTCCCTCAAAGCAGAAGTTTCTAAAGGATCAGAAGTTGGAAGCAAAACGTGAAGGTTAACCTAGGAATAACCACACTGGATATTGAAAATGGATGTAAAGGATGTACTTTAGAAAAGCCACTGGAGGTAAAACCAAGTTAGGGCCCCCAGGCCCAGTTAATTGCTGAAGTGGCCACAGCTGTGGCACAGCCTGAGGGAGGGAACTTGGACCGCAGAGTTTGAGGGAAGATGGATTTCATATCTGTACTCGAGCAACGCCCAAATTACACGAGTCCGCTCAGTGACTCCAGGGAAGCCTGGCCATGGATTTCCACGAGGGAATTGCGGCGGGCGGGAAGTGACGCGTTGTGAGGGAAGTGACGCCTGGGCGGCGGGAGCTCGGCGGAGCGGAGGGTGGCGGTGGCTGTGGCGGAGAGGGGCCATGAACAGCCGCCTGCAGGAGATCCGGGAGCGGCAGAAGCTCCGCCGGCAGCTCCTGGCGCAGCAGGTACGGCCGGGCCCGCCCTTTCCCCCTCAGCGGCCGCCGCCCGCGCTACCGCGGCCTGGGGCGCTAGAGGGGCGAGGGGCCTGGGGCGGCCCTGGGGCTGTGTGGGGACGGGTCTGCAGAGAGCACGGCGTGAATTTGTGTTTGCCGCTGTCCAGCTAGGGGCCGAGAACGCCGACAGCATCGGCGCCGTGCTCAACAGCAAGGAGGAGCAGCGGGAGATCGCCGAGACCCGGGAGACGTGTCGGTCCGTATCGGCCAGCGGGCTCTGTTCGAGACTGGGGGCTTGGAACTCATACAGGCCCTGGAAACGGGGTGGGATTGCACTCGGGGAAAGAAAGTGCTTTCATTACCCAAATCAGAACTTTGCCTAAGGCCAGTGGGGTCTGGTTATTCCCTTCTAAAAACAGCCTGGAAATACAGGCTCACATTTGTTTCTTGTGTTAAAAAGATGCTGCGTAGGAAAACTGAGGTGTGAATTCAGAACGTGCCACCTGCGTTGTCCCAGAACCTTTATGCTTTTGCTAAGATAAGTTTAAAAGTTCTTTTGGAATACTCGATGTGTCTAGACAGACTAGCTAATGCTAGTCGTCTCTCAGGTGTAACAGTAATTTTCTTGTGTGAGCAGACTTAATTTTGTGGATGTAGACTGATTTGGTTAAAATAAACTGTACCATTCAGAACAGAAAAATGAGAAAGGGAAGGAAATTCCTTTCTTTTCAGGAGTTCTGTCCTTAAGTTGTGCTGGTCTCAAACATACTGAGGGAGGAACAGCTTGTCATCAAATTTCAAAGTAATTTCAAACTTGTAACAGAAACATGTAGTCAAGGCAGATTATCAAAGATTTTTGGAAATAGGAGGACTTTTTTTTGGGCTGTTCACAGGGCTGCTTATGATACTTCTGCACCAAATGCAAAACGTAAATATCCAGATGAGGGAGAAGCAGATGAAGAAGAGATTGAAGAATATAAGGTAAGAAAAAAAAGGAAAAAAATTACTTTTCTATGGTGTTCCTGTGTCCCTGAGGGACTTCTAAAATATATATGTATGCATATAAAAAGAAATGTGATGTGTTCCAATACTTGGAATATGTATATTCCTCAGGGGCATCTGAAGTGTAGATGCTCCATGGTTCTCTTCAGGCAGTGGTGCATTGAGATGCACATGCTCCAGAACCCAGTTTTTGAGGCTTATTTTAGCGCTGCTCCTGGAAGTGATAAAACGTGTGTGCTCTTGGGTACACACAGAAAAAAGCTGATTGAATCCTGAATTGACCAGAATTCTGTTGTGTCAAAAGAAAACCTTGCAGTTATCAGGAGGTACAGGCTATGGGATGAGGTATGGGAAGGCTGAGAGTGCTTTCTGACGTGTCTGTTAAGTGCCAAAGAATGCAGTTCTGGATAAATGGAAAAAACAAGGGATTCTAAGGGAGTGGAAGTAAGAGGCTTGGTTTGGGGTGTGCTTCAGGCATCCAAAATGCCAGGAAAAGTTCAGTTAAAAAATACCCAAACCAAAATGCCTCCATGGTCAGTGAAGTGCTGTCAAACTCTCATGCCTTTATTTTTTCAGATGCTCATCCCAGAGCTATTTGACAGCTTTCTCCACTCATATTCAATGCGGTGTTTTGGCTAAGATGAGTGGTAGAAAGAGGTCGAACAAAGACATGATTATGATACAGCTGTGTTTTGTTATTTGCTTTGGGATCTCATTGCAGCATATATCCTCCCTCTCCCCTTTTCCCATGTCATTATAACCTTACTTCTGTGGTTAAATAGAATTAGTGTATTTATTAAATTATGCAGTGTCTACTGTTCTCTTGGATGCCTAAAAATAGCAATTTTTGAAATTTTACTTCATTGTGTTGCATTTTTGATGAGGTTTATAAATCTTTCTGTAATGTCTTATCTTCTGTCTTACTAAATAAAAAAGTTAATGTATGACAGGATGTTTTTTGATGACTGATTTTTTAAAAGTCTGTGTGAAGTGACAGACATTGTTTCTTTAAATGCAAAGTGTTAGTTTGTACCTCTTGTTCAGCAAACAAGTCATGAGCTCCATTGTGAAGTGGAATTTTGATGCTTGCATTAGGGATCAGTTCATATCACTTTATTTTAGTCCTTCACCAAGTATGTAGTTAAGGAACTAAGTTTTAATTACCTGTGAAACATATGTGGATAAGCCACTTGGGTTGGTAAAGTACATGATTTATCGTTAGGATTTTCTTCATTAGTGTGGGGAAGACTTACCCTGAGATGGATGTAACCACTTTTAAGTAGCCAGACTCTTGCTATATTGTTGAAATTGAAGAATATTTTAATAACACTGGCTCGGAACAAATTCAGTGGCACAGATGAATAGACTTAAGAAACTTGAAACCCGCAAGCAGAACATCTATAGTTGAGACATCAGCTGTTTCCTGCAGACATTGCTAATTCCCTACTGGCAGGGAGATAAGAACAGTAAAATTCCATCTGTATTTATATAACTTTTTCCTTAGCACTTTGAGCCTGTTTAAATTTAGTCTTGTAATATGAACTGATAGAAAAATCCTTACAGTATCAAATCCTTATTGGATTGTGCTTAATGCTTCTTAGACAAAAGTAATAACAGACTTGAACCATTAGTGTTCAGGGCAAATATCATAAATTCATCAGTTAGGAAAATTAAGGGTATTTCTGATATCACGTGACTTGTCTCAATATCCCTGACTTGGCTAAGAGAGCCAGTGACACCCAAAGGCCTTACACTGATACCTTGAGAGAAGGCTGAACAGTGACATTGACTTTATTGTTCTAAGGGGGAAGCATGAGAGCAGTTTTTGAGATTAAAAAATGAAGTATGTTACTCTTCTCAGCCATACAGGAACATCAGATTAAAAAAAAATGTTTTAATTTGGGGGCTTTTTTTTGTGGGTCTGGTTTTGGTTTTTCTGTAAAATAAGTGCAGATTTATAGGCTTGCTGGCAGTTTAACCTCAGTCTTGGAGCCTGGCTCTGCCTTGGCACCACAGGGGTGGGAGATAGGGAAGAGATGCGCTAAAGGCAAAAGTGAAGAAGGGATATTTTAAGGTCAGAAAGTTGAATTGTCCTAAAGAACTCCTAAAATACTCGTGTTTTGGTGGAACTGTACCAGTTGTACCAGGGTTAGCTGAGCTCCCTGGTCTGTATTTGGAAGTGGCAGACAATGGGATTAGACAGTTTGCTGCCACTGCCAGGCTTTTCACAGCCTTCTGAGAGCTGGGGTTGTTGCTGCACCCCCAGGTGATTTTACTCAATTGTTTGTTTGAACCTGTATGACTGTCTGTATTGTGGAGTTTTAACTTTGTATGAAGTACAGAAACACCTGTGGTTTAGTTTTGCTGTCTGCCAGCCTAATTTGAGACAGCCCTATTTTACTTCATTTCTGCAAGCAGTGGCCTGTGAGCTTGGGATGCTTCCATGCCATTGTTGTGGAGGCTGGAAAGATCTTACTTGGTAATTGCTTAGCGTATCTCTAGTAATTTGAAAAAAAACTATGTTTGAATATTGCAGATAGTTTTTGTTTCCCTAACTCAGCAATGCACCAGATGATTTGGAAAACAAGGATGATTAATGCACGAGAACCTGTGTCATTCTGTCTCTGTTTTGTTGTTTTCCCGTTGAAAGTTGGGGTTTGTGGCCACGAGACTCTTTAAATCACTTGTGAAGGCATAAAGAGAACTAGGGTGACTCAAGTGGTATCTAGCAGTGCTTATTAGAAAGCCGAGATTTAGAGATAGGTGGAAGAGGGAAACTGATGGCATAAGCAGTTTTTAGTAAAACTCAAGCTTTCAGCTCCTTTTTTTTTTGGCCTGAATAAGACTTGCTGCTTCTTGTCTGCTTTAATTTCTCTTCCTTGCAAGCAGTGTTGCTGTTTCTGATAATAATATTTTTGGTCTACTTAAACAAATGAAAAGAGTGTGTCTCTGTAAATTCTTTACAGGAATATTGAGGAAAGAGAATCTGACCTGTTTATCACAGCAGGCATTTCAGAATTTGATTCAAAGCTCCAGTTTGGAAATAACAGAAAGATTATGATAAGATCTTAACAGTTAGAGGGATCAAAATAGAGAGGGAGAAGACTTAACTTTTGATTCTGCATTCAGACAGCTTGTGTAGCACAGGGTAAATGCAGCAGTAGTAATATAGGAGATGATATTATTTAGTAGTTCTTCAGCTGTATTTATATATTTTATGTGTCTGTATACTGCGTTGGTTCAAGATCAGTGGGAAAACTGAAGGTGATGTGAAGAATTGAGTCTCTCTTTAGTTTCTATTCCCTCCGAGTTCTCTGTTGGATGTTCAGAGTACATCAGTGTATCAGATCTCTGAACTCCAGAAATCTGTTGAATGAACTCACCAACGGGGGGAAAAAATTGCAAAAAAAAAAAAATTCTGTTTTCTGTAAATTTTGGGGCTAAAAGATGGAATTTTTAAGTTACTTTTAAGGACAGTCAGAATGAAATACTGACTTGTACCATGAGCTGTTTCTGCAAACTGTGGACTTTGCTGCCAGGGTTGGAATGTAAGAGATGATTGAGTGGATATATGAATGCTCAAAAGTTCTAATACAGAAGAATATCAACAAAATACATTATTTGTTTCAGTCCAAGCAGTGAAAGTTTTGGGGGACAAAAATTAAAAATCCTACACTTTCTTAAGCACTGGCTGTACTGTCAAGGGCTAGAAATTAAGGGGCTTTTATTTTATTCTTCTTTCAGGGGCCTTTCCACCTCATTACTGAAAGAGGTGCAGATCTTTTTGAGAATAGGAAATGTTTTTTTCCCCTCCAAAACTGGAGCTGAAACCATTCATGATGTGCTGTTTTAGGAAATGTCTGTTTGTAGACAGCCCACTTCTCATTATGGCTTTGTAAGGAAAGGAGCGTGATCTTGCATACTGGTAATACCTGCTTTATTTCCAAGGATGAAGTAGAGCTGCAGCAAGATGATGAGAACCTGCCCTATGAAGAAGAGATTTACAAAGATTCCAGTACCTTTCTTAAGGTGAGCTGCTTTTGCAGTTTTAACTGTAGTCAAAGCTGGCATAGTTGGGTTAAACTGTCTTTACAGTTGATGGTATTTCATGTACAGCTTTAAAGGCTGAAGTAATGGACTAGAATTCACAAGTGGGGAAGTTTCCTGTGGAAGGTGTGACTGGAACTAGTGTTACATTGTTGATCCTGACTAAAGGTATGAGTCAAATCACAATGAACTGCAGTAATGGTGGGCCTGATTTGGAACTAAAATGATGGTCTTGAGTAGTGTAACTTGCAAAGGCATGTAGAAAGGAAAATAGTCTGTTATTTTTTCATTTATCAAACTGGCACATGTAGAGAGAGAGAGTGTGTGTGTGTGTGTGTGTGTGTGTGTGTGTGTGCGGTTATCTGCCCGTTGCTCTTCACTGAACTCCCTCTGTTCTCCAGGGCACTCAGAGCTTAAATCCACACAATGATTACTGCCAGCACTTTGTGGATACAGGACACAGACCCCAGAACTTCATCAGAGATGTTGGTATGTCATAGTCAGTGACTGTGTGAAGAGAACTCATTTGATAGCACTTCTTTTTCTTCCCCTTTTTAAATTCCTTACAGTTACTGGGAAGTACAGTAATATACATATACTTCATAGTTATGTCTCTCCCTGTGAATACATATCAATATAGACATTTCTGTGAATGAGTTTATTTTTAAACAGTTAGGAGGTGATTATTGCCTAGGCTGCCCTTACCTTGGTTTTTACTTGAAAGTTTTTAACAGGGAGATTTTTTTTCAAAACCAAGCTCTTTGGATTCCAGGAAGTAAATGAATTTAATGAGCAGATTTTGAACCCTTTGCAATATTGAGTAACAGACTTACTGTATTGCCTCTTAAGAATGTGTATAGTATGTAAAGTATGGCAGTTTTCATATATTGAAGTCAGTAAGCAATATGGATAATGTTCAGCAGCTAAATTTTGTAACTGCTGACAGCTCGTTAGAAGGCCCATGTTTAGAGGATGTTATTTTCTAAGTTTACGTGTATCTAGCCATCACTGAGTTTGTTACTGAAGTGATGCTTTATTAGGCCTTGATTTAATCTTTCTGAAACTAAGGTGCAGTTTGGTCCTGTTTCCCAAAGTAGGTGCATAGTAGTTATTTGGATTTTAAAATAAGCAGGACACCTCCCTCTGCAGTTTTATGCAACAGTATTTTACCAAGTTTAAGCTTGTCAGGGCAAGTGGGTTGTGTTTATAGGTGGCAGCCCAAAGAGGTTTAGTTTACCTGTGGAGGCACTCGGTTTGCTTCTTCTCTGTATTTTGTGAATGCTTTTGTGAAACACATCTGGATGGTCTTTATGAAAAATGGGCTGTTTTGACTCAATTACATCTTTATGTGAAAAGCCCCTGGGCTTCATGGTGAAGTACTTGAGGCAGTTCTGCACTGTTCTTTGAAATGAGTCCAAAGAAATTGCAGCCAATGTTATTTACTACGACTTCTCTGCTGCCTGAAGAATTGGGAAGGGACAGGACAAAGGGTTATGCAAGTGTTAATGTGGAAATGAACATGTCAGCAGCAGACAATTCAGACCCTTTATTGGAGCTGAGGTATGTCAGAGTCAATACTGGTTAGCACACATTTTCTACTGATGATCAAAACTCTGCTTGGGTGCTGTTTCACAATTGGACATGGCCTTAAAAGAAAGCTGTAAAGAAGCAGTGGTTCTGGAACACATACTTGTTTCTTTTTGATACTGCTGTTGGAAGAGAGGGAGAGACCTGTGGATTTGGGTTTGATTTGGTTGTTTTTTTGATGGAAAATTCTTTTCTATTTGTTGCTGAGCTGCTGCTAACTGCCTTCTGTTTCTCCTGGGCAGGAGTATTTGACTTGCAGTGGCTGGAAGCAGCACAGTGAAAATCAGGAGAACATGGTGCTTTTAAGCCACTATGTGTTTAAGAAAAAGAATGAAAGTAGCTTTTGGGTGTTTAATGCACAAGTAGTAAGAGCTAATAAAGGTTAGGTACTAAGAACTTCACTTTTATCAGTGCAGTCCTGGAGCTGGGAGTTCAGAATTTGGAACTAAAATAAGGAAAGGGATGAAGGATTGTAGGTTTTGTGGGTTTGGGCGGGTTGTTCCCCCCCAATGGATTAGTAGCATTTAAAGTTGTACATTTAAATGAACATGAAGCTTTGTAAATAACTCTTACTAAAGTTGAACTGATACTGCCTGGGAGGCAAGAATGGTGCCTTGTTGGTCTGTAAATGCTGAACCTACTGCCAGCAATAACAAAAACATAATCTCTCTACTTTTTTGGAAGGGAGAACTTAATATACTGAAAGGTATATTTTCATCTTAAAAACATCTGCTGCAAAAGACCTCTTTTGCAGTCTGTACATAGGAAAGGCTGGAAAATTGGCATCATCAAACTTAGAGTAGGAACATGTGTTCAAATCTTTGACTGACACCGGAGCACCAAAGCTCAATATAAGGGATGCCTCAGGGAACCAGCCACACCTCAGTCTTCAAATATTAAGTGAGAGTATTCTGTAAATTAATGGTAATTAGATCTTAATAGAAACTTACAGATATGGATAACAAAATAACTTTCTTTCATCATCCTGGGACTTCTAGTGTAAATGAGAGGTTGTTTCCTTCTGGTAACAGGAGCTGTAAGTTCCTGCTCTCTCTCTAGTGCTCTAGAAAAGATTAGAGCATAGACACTGCATTAGAACAGCTGTAATTAGCTGGGTTAGGACAGGAGGCTTTTGTCAAGTACTGAACAAAAAACTGCTTTGAAGGGTTTGGTTTATTCTAACAAAAATTAAAAAGAGGCTAAGTATTAACATTTGGACCTATTCAGAATACTGGACAATGCTTAATTGATACAGATATACTCTGTTAAGTAGTTGTTAACTTCATGTTTTCTTCTTCTTAGGCTTAGCAGATAGGTTTGAAGAATATCCAAAACTTAGAGAGCTCATCAGATTGAAGGATGAGCTGATATCTAAATCTAACACTCCTCCCATGTAAGTGTTCTTGTGGAAAATGCCTTTCTTCTCCAGACCTGTTTGAAGTTAGCTGTCTGCTTTGCAAATCTCTATCTTCAGCACCTGCTTAGAATTTACATTTTCTTCTTCTGTTTATACAAATTAATCAATTGAAGCATAGAAGAACAAGATTAGTTTGTTTCTGTTATTTTAATCTAGATGTTTAATATAGTATGTAAACTAGTTTTTCTTTCCAGTGTGTGATTGTTTATAGTATCTAAAGCTTTGATTTGACCAAACTGTCAACTGATTGCCCTGCAGGCTTTTATCTGGAATTTTAAAGAATGGGTTGTGATTGTGAATCTCATGTTGTCATGCCGTTTACAATAACAAGAAAAGCTTTACAAAATTGGCCTCTTAAGATAACCTTCGTTATTCTTGTACCAGCTGGTTTTTGTATAGTGTTCAGCCATTACCTTAGTACCCATTGATTAGATGTTACTGTGCAGCTGAAGACAAAAATGTTTAGGCTCACTGGAAGTCATTTGTCCTATCGTCTTGGAATTACCTCAGAGTTTTTGGATGTCAGACACAGCATAAGTGTGCAACGTGTTACTGCCAGGAATTCAGGCCTGCCTGAATGTCAGCCTAATGCCTGTAATATACAGCAGTCCTAATCTGTACTGAGAAAAACAGCCTTATGGAGTGATAGTCACACACAACCTCTGAAAGAGTTGTCTGAACAACTGAGGTACCAATGGCAGGACTCAACTTGCTCTTTAGGTTCGGTGTGTTTTTGGCATTCTTTAGCCTTAAAGCATTGAAGGAGGAAAACAGTGATGCGGTGCTGCCTTCTGAAAACACCAAGTACACATGCAGAATCATAATCTCTTCCAGACACTTTCTGGGAAGGGGGAGGTGCTGATCTGATCAGCTTTCTTAAGGTTATAGGTTTCTAGGGGAGGGCAGTGTAGTGATACAGCAGTGAGTGATGAGCAGGTGTGGAGGAGAGTTGTAAGAGTGTATTTGTGTATTTAATAAAATCAATGTGCGTTACCTGAAAAGTGTGTCTAGCCTTCAGAACCTTTTGAACATAATATATGAAAAATGGCAATTCTAAAAAGATGACACTTCCCAAAGTGAAGCAGACCAGAAATCTGTTAGCCAGGCTAACAGTGTTTGCTTCCTAAGTGTTGCTGTTTCCTCCTAAATAGTCCATGGGTGTAAAGAAACTTCAGTGAATCTGTACTATATACTGTTATACAGTATGTGTGGGCATCTGCTTGCTGCTTGCTAAATTAGGATCCTAAAATCTGTTTATTTAAGAGAAAGACTACTTAAAAAAATATAATGCAGTAGCATCCAGCCTGGATTTAGGATCCATCCTTGAGGATGTGCTGTGGGTCTCCTCTACATTTAGAGCCTTTGAGCTGTACGAACCACACAGGAGACTCTGCTCTTAACTGGTAACACAGAAGTGCCATGTGCAGTATAATTTTCAAAGCACTCCTATACCTTGTCCAAACAGTCTGTCATCTTCTGTTTGAACAGGTATTTACAAGCAGACTTGGAAGCATTTGATATTAGGGAACTGAAGTCCAAATTTGATGTGATTCTCCTGGAACCACCACTGGAAGAATACTACCGGGAGACTGGCATTACTGCCAATGAAAAATGCTGGACCTGGGATGATGTAAGTACTTTTCTTGCTGTGGAAAAGACTTCATACATGCATTTAAGCAAATAGGTAAGTTCACTCCCTCACTGATGTCCTCCTTTCTCCAAGTATTGTCTGGGTAGGAAATTGTAACAGTCAAACCAATTGTAAACTTTAGAAGCCTAATAAAATAGAACTTGTGAACAAAACCTCAGCTGCAGAAGTTTTTCTCTTGTATTTATATATTCCCTGACTGTTAAGCAATTCAGTGGTGTATTGACAGTTCATTCTGTATCGTTCCCTTTTCCATGAGGTCAGCTCTGGAAAAACAGTCAGTCAAACTGAAGGATCATGAGAACAAAATCAAATTCAAGCTACCTTTAAGGAGTGAGTTTGAAAACCAAGGCATTCATGCCTGTGGTGTGAAGAGAGACCAGGTAACTGTGAAGGAGTAGGTGTCTGTGTTAGCCAGGTTCTTAACATCAGGCACAAATGGTGCTTGGTGGTGTTGCCCAGAGAAAAAACATTCTATCCTAACAGAAAAACTGGAAGTAGTGGATTCATAGTTTGGCTTCTGCTGCATTACTTTTGTTCACAATGGCACTGAATGAAGCTTGATTTGATGTGTTCGCAAGTTATAGATGAATCCTTTCAAGTTGTAATGACAAACAGATGCTTTGCATCTCAAGTTATTTCATCTTGAATGTTATTGATTTGTCAAAGTTGAACCACTGTCCTTGAAAATTCTTGCTGCTTTTTTACCTGAAAGGGAAAATGGAGAGAATGTCTTTCCTATATAGTGATAGGAATTAAACTGCGATTCTTATAAAGGGTCTTCACAACCTTCATATAAGTAATTCCAGGGATGAAAAGAAACAGGGTACTGTTGCTTCTGCATCAAATATTTGTGTCACGGTTTAACCATAACTACCCAGCCAAAACCAGCACAATTGTATACATGGGTATTGGCAAGGTAACTTTTACAAGATACTTTCTAGAAAACAAATTTCTAAGTTTGGCTGTGAATGTATACAGGCTAACAGCTCCAAAACAGTGCTTCTTGGTGCTCTCTGTGACAATGCTTCAAGACTTAGTATTCTTCCTGATACAATTGGTGATTTATTGCTTTTATTATTATTAGATCATGAAATTGGAAATTGAAGAAATTGCAGCCCCAAGGTCATTTGTGTTTTTGTGGTGCGGTTCAGGCGAGGGTCTGGATCTGGGCCGAGTGGTAAGATGATGATTTAATTAAATTTATGAGGGACAGGCTTAAGAGTTTATTTTTATCGTTGACTTTTTCCTGTATAGAATTCTCAACGGTAACTACTGAGGGATGTTTTGTTACTGTGGTAGAGGATATGTAATTTTAAGTGGCATTAACTGTTTAGGTACTGTTATTTTCCAGATGAGTCATTGACTATGTGAGGAAACAATTCCATAGGGTCTAGAAAGCTGTGCTGCTGTCTCGGTTTTCATAGGAGCAGGTGACCATACTGAGTGCTTTTACAGCTTTTTGAACAGAATTCTCAGTAGTTTTCTGCCAGAAATATTAATTCCAGAGGAAGGGTGCTACTGTGTGTCTTAAATTGAGATAAAATTGTAAACTTCCTGCATGCCATGGTGGTACTGCTTGTATTAGGGATCCTGCAGTAAGAATTTCCAGCTAGCTCCTGCTGTGCTGAAACATTCCTTGTTTAGTTCAAGCAGTGCTTTCCTTGAAGACAATTTATAAACAAATGTTAAGGGGTGGGTTTGGTCACTAATCTGTTGGCTTTATCTGCTTTTCACTCGAGGTGATTGGATAGACTAGTTTTGGTCATAGATATGTTTGTAGTAGCTGGACAGTGCTTGAATACAGCAACAGCCAAATGAGCTTGAGTCCTTTATGCCCCATTTCTTCCTTTTCCAAGACTACACTTACAGGATTTAAGGATACAAAAGTCTTTTAAGCTGTAGAGTTTGTTTGGTTTGATTTGGGGTGGTTTTTTGTTGGTTTTTTTTTTTGGGGGGGGGGTTGTTTTGTTTTTGATTGGTTGGTTTGGTTTAGGTTTTTTTGTTGCTGTTGTTGTTTGGTAGTTTTGGGGTTTTTTAGCAAATATAGGAAAAGCATGAAATAGTAGCAAAGACTTTTGGGTATTTATTTTCCCACTTACAAAATTTTACATTGATGTGAGAAACTACCAGAGTTCAGGTATTAGTGGAGACAAGACTGAGGCAGCTGGTCTCTGTGTTGTTCTGACTGATTTTGATTACATTTAAGTGCCACTACCTAAAATTGAGTGCAGACTTCCATAGGAGATCTGTATATTTTTTTAGATTTAAAAAAAAAAAAAAAATATGTAGACAAGTCGATGTGCACATAAACCTCTTTAATTTTAATTTTTAGGGGCAGCGTGACAAACACGTCATACCAGTAAACACTGTCATTCATCTGTGACAGATTTGCAGCTAAGATTTCAGAAAAGTCAAGTACCTCTATGAATGTTCAGTTTGAGGTACTTAAGTTTTTGGTATAGTGTGAACTGCTTTCTTTTTTTTATGATGTTTAGTGTCTACGCAAATGGGGTTACAGAAGATGTGAGGACATTTGCTGGATTAAAACAAATAAGAACAATCCTGGAAAGACCAAGACTCTAGACCCTAAGGCTGTTTTCCAAAGAACCAAGGTAAGGGGTTGGCTCCATTGCTCCTCTGTTCACATCCTTTCTCTCTGCTGATGAAACAACTGCTGCTCCACAGTAGTTGGTGACAGGCTTTTGGGACAGCAGGCATGAGGACTTCACAGTTCTGTTCTGCAAAGTATGTTTCAAGGAACTAAACTTAGCAATAGAATTTGACTAAATTTAATGTCAAAAGAAGCCTTTAAATCTGTAGGTTATAAATGGATCTAATACTGAAAAATAACTATAGGAGGCTGGCTGTTGGTTGTAAATGCACACGTGCAGGTATGCCCAGAGTTAGCAGCAGAGAGAGGACCGTGAGAGACCAGAACTCAGCCAGGATCTCCTGACTCCCTAAAGGTGACTGTAAAGGTGAATGGATCAGCTTGGTTTAACAAAACCTTTTTTTAGGGATGCATTGTGGAGGATGTGTATTGAAGAAAATGCAGAGAAAAAAAGTGTTCTGATTTAAAAGGCTCAAATGTAAGTTATTCAAAACTTAGAGAAATGTAGATGGGATTAATAAATAATTGGTTTGGGTATATGTGGGTGTAACTGGCAGTTTAACTGCAAAGAGCGTTGGCTGGCAATTTAATAATTCCAAGTGTCAGTTAACCTCAGGACTCATTCCTCATTCATTAATCATTCCTTAGCATTAAACATCCTCAGCCCTGTCTCAGATTTGCCATTTTCTGGAGTATAAACTTCCCTTTAAGATATCTGGAATCTTTCATTGACTTACATTTACATTAGTCTGAAGTTTGTTTGAATGTGTTGTATCAGTTATAAATATTTATAAGTATAAATATCGCGTGTTTATTGCATATGGTATTGCAAATCTGTGCAGCTCGCTCATGAGGGAGAGGTTAAAGCTAACACAGGAGGATTTGAGGGGGGACTTTGTTTAACCAAGAGGAACAGTTTCTGGTATTGGGGAATTTCTCTGTTTATGGGGCGAGGGTTGGCCTGGGGTCAGCGTGTGTAATAAACATTGGAAATGGAGCGAGTTTGTTCTGACTAAATAAATAGGCTGCTGGGCCAGATGTATTTACCGGTGGTTGCAGCAGCAAATGCTGTTCCATTCTGGTTAGTTGAGGCATCTCTAGATGGGTGCATTTTGCTGGGCCACCTGTTAGAGAATCTGAGGTATGAGTGAATGACATGTGGTACGGGAGTAAATATTGCAGGCAGTTCTGCTCAGGGCCTGATGGGTAATTTGTTTAACAGTATTCTGCCTTTTTAGTTAAATTCGAGGTCCAACACCCCTGTTTGCTTGAGTGCAGTTGACCAACTGCATAGATTTGATAGATCAGCTGTTGTGACTTTCATATTCACTTGTCAACTCTGAAAACACTTCCCAAAATCTGGGAATGATTACATACTCATCTGCAACTTTTTCTTGAGCCATCTGGCGGCGCTTAGTGAGTCAGTGTGTTTGATCCTGGGGAACATCGCTCATCCAAGCTTGATGTTCTCAGAAACAGAGCTCTGAAATGAGTATGTAGGAGCCTCTTTTCATCCTCTAACAATTGTGGTGATTCCTCATTCATGGGTGCCACATACCAGTCACTTAAATTGATCTGCGGTGTTTCAGAGGAAGGAGGCAATGGATGTTACAGCTCAAGAACATTCTTAATGCTGATGAATTGACAGTTTGATGGTGGCTGTATTTTTTATATGCAGTAATATCTTCTAGAAAGGAATCTGAGGGTGACAGCTACTTTTATAAGAGGTACAATATGAAAAAGTACGTTATTTGCACTGTCTGTTTTATGACTGAGAACTTTGAAAACTGTTTGTGCTCAAAGGCTGCCACAGGAGTACGTGTGGCATGTGACAGTGCTGTGTGTGTCACAGGAGCATTGCCTCATGGGCATCAAGGGCACCGTGCGCCGCAGCACAGACGGGGACTTCATCCACGCCAACGTTGACATCGACCTCATCATCACTGAGGAGCCTGAAATCGGCAACATAGAAAAACCGGTGGAGATTTTTCACATTATTGAGCATTTCTGCCTTGGACGACGGCGGCTTCACCTGTTTGGAAGGGACAGTACAATCCGACCAGGTAACTGCTACCTTGGGTTTGGTCAAATAGTTCCATTTTAATGTGCTTCAGTAAACTTCTTCCCAGGCCACTTGGTGGGTTCTGCCGGGAGCTGAGGCAATATTGGTTAATCCTACTCCATTGTCCTTCTGCCAGGACTCACACCAGCTGGATAACTGTATTTTTGCATGTAACTGCATCACTTGTCTGTTCTCCCAACACTGTGATACAGCAAAGTGATTTCTGCTCTAGTTAATGTTCTGCCCCTCATGGTCAAAAAGCAGAAAGCTTTGCTAGAACTAAAGATCACACACATCTCTTTTCTTGGCAAGAACATCTGTCTTGTGAATCCTCAGCCTGTGTTGCAGGAGTATCGTAGAGAAACCTTCTAAACGATACTACAGTTCAGTTACAATGTTTTATCATCTTTGGGAGCAAGATCATAGAAAAGGCTTTTTGGTTTAGAAATACTTGTTTTTAGAAGAAAATACTTTCTCAAACAGTAAGACCTTTATGCTTTTGTTCTCCATGTTATCTCTTAACTGCAGATAAATGCTGCAGTTACTCAGTTTTCTACCGGAGTACTGAAAGGTGTAATTTCTGTCTTTTCATTTTCTGAATATTTCCTTTCCAATAAACTTTTTTTCTGACTCAGTAGTGAAATAATCTCCACACTAACTCTAAAAATTGAAATGTCTTTATCGCGTGTAAGACAGAGTAGCAGAATTCTCTGCTTGTAAAATTCATGTCAGTGTCCTAAAGAGGTTTCCAGACCTGTGTCAGAGGTCAGACAGTAGATCTCAAGGAGATATATTGTTGGTGTATGTGAAGATCCGTCAGCCACAAAACTGTAGTTTTTGAAGAAACAGGAATGAGCTTGTTTTAATGTTTGCCTGTCTTGATTAACTTGGTAAAGCTGAAGTGCCCACTGAATGTTTTTGTATAAACAGGCTAATTTAACTCTCCAAGCACTATTTTCATACCAGGTGGGCTTCAGCAGAGCTGTTATTTTATTGGGTTTTCACAGATGTGCTTCCAGCAGGCTGTGCTCTTGGCTGCACTGTCACAATTGGTTTCTGGAGACAAAGTTACCTAATTCGAGTTTAAATGCCTTTTAATAAGGGGAGAAGGATGGTGTTGTTTTAAATCAGATGAATTTACTGATCAAGTTTAGTTAGTCTGGTACCAGGGGGCTGGATCTGGCTTCCCCAGAGGCAACCTCTTCATTCCATTCAGTACAGGTGACATGTAGGCAGATGTCTCTCCCTGTCACTTGAGTGTCCATTGAGTGGAAAAAAGGACAATAGTGGCCTGGAAGCGCGAGGTTTGTTGCTGCTTTTGTTGACTCTGGTTTTGTTCCCCAGGTTGGCTGACGGTGGGTCCAACCCTCACCAACAGCAACTTCAATGCAGAGACATATTCCTCGTACTTCACGGCTCCCAACTCCCACCTGACGGGCTGCACCGAGGAGATCGAGCGGCTGCGGCCCAAGTCGCCCCCGCCCAAGTCCAAGTCTGACCGGGGCGGGGCTGCTCCCAGGGGAGGAGGCCGAGGAGGGACTGCGGCCGGCAGGGGAGAGAGAGGCAGAGAGAGGAACAGAACGAACTTCCGTGGTGAACGGGGTGGCTTCCGAGGGGGCCGAGGAGGGACCCACCGAGGGGGCTTCCCCACCCGCTGAGGAGGTAACGGCTTCTTGCCTCATCCCACGCCTCGTCTCTGAATCTCTTTCTTAGTCTTGTTTTTCCTGAAATGAATTCCTCTGGGGACTCAAGCTAGATGACTTGTGAAATTGGTTTTGGTGAGGCTGTTCCAGTCTTCCCATGCCTGGGCTGGCATGGCTCCACCTTGCCTGGCAGCACTGAATTCACAGCAGAGAGCACCATCTCTTCACACACCATGGGAAGGAGGGAAGGGAAGGTACTTGCTCTGCTCTTAGGAAAATGGGGAGGGGGGGGGCACAACTTTCTTTTCAGCTGTTATTTTCTCCAAAACATGGATTTCTCTTCCTTCTTCGGAGGTCTGGGCTTGGACTGACCTGGATTAATATGGTGGAATGGGCATGAAATGCAGTTCTGAATTGCAGACTTACTGTCTTATAGAAGAAACAAATGCTGTGTCTGTATTGACACCTATTTTAACTCCTCTGAAAACAAGGAGCAAATGGAATAAATAGAATTCTATTTTTTCTTATTTGGTTTTAACTTCCCAAATTATTCCTGGGAATAGGGAACAAGTTAATTTTTAATTTGTGCTGTATGTGCACTCACTTTTCCTTAGGGAGAGTGTAATTCTGTGCAGTTATGTGTTGTGCTTCATGGAAAGCACCAAGCAAGCTGTGCACTTATGTGCAGTCCAGAACTTCTGCAAAGTCCGGATTGCTCCTGTAGCAGGGATTTTCACCCATTGTGTGTTTGTAACACTTTGTTCTTTGGAAGATAAAAGAACAGTGTCACTGCAGAGCAATCTGTGACCTTCTTGGAGAGCAGGTTGGAAATGTGTGTGTGCAGTTCCTGAAGCTTGTCACCTGGGAACAGGGTACAGTAACAGAACCAAGTGCTTGGCTTTGCCTGTGGGAGTTGCACGCATTTGGAAATATTGGCTGTTGCAGATGAGCTCCAGTGCAGTGTGGACAGACAGCAACTCACTTTGGTATGTACAGTGTCTGTTTTTAGCAGAACCACAGCTCCGAGCTTCTTGCTCATTACTTGGCAGGCTGAACAAACTTGGCTGTTGATGTATCAAGGTCATAGCTGTGGATCTTTGATTTTAAATAGCTGTCCTGTAAAGTAGCAAATTATTAAACATGTTTATCAAAGTTAATGTTGCATTATTTTTCTTCATATTTTATGGATTTGTTCTCCTTGAGGTTTTGGAATTGCCAAGTGGTTTCCTCTGTGCTCTTGTTGAACAGAACTATTCTTTTGGTGTAAGGAATATTGGCACAGGTGTTTTTGAGGGGCTGGTGGAACTCGCTGTTGTTTACAAGTTGGTTTTTCCTGTGTCATTTGCACATCTGGAGAGTGTGACTGGATTTGCGGAGGGGGTGTTTTAAGGGTGGTGCTCATTTGGCCATCAGTGAAGTCAGCCATGGGCTAAGTGAACAGCATCTGACAGCAGGTACATGCCACAGTAAAGAAACTTTGTAATTTTTGCTTTAGTCACGTTATTCAAAAAGTAAATACTGAAGACAACCTTAGGACCACTGCTTTTGTGCCAGGGACAAACTTGGGGTTTTTTATGAATAGAAAATGTTAATTTCCATTTCCCCCTTTTAAGCACAAGCCCATTGCTGATAGTTCAGTGCTGGTTTTACTTGAGTTGAATGGACAAAGGAACTCCACCTTTGTACCCATCCTCCATGAAGATCTACTACCTGCTCATCATTATCGGAAGGTGCTGTTCCAGGAGTGACAGACTGATGGCCTGTAAAGGTGAGACAGCAGCACACCCAAAGCTTGGTGTCATGTCCTTGTGGTGGTGGAGATGATACGTAGACACTATTACGCACACCCCATTATACAGGGTAAAAACATCTGGTCATTTACTTAATCCCTGTGATTTGAACCATATCTAAAGTGATATCTAGAGATGAAAGGCTTTTAATTGCATTACTGTGTCAGTTAATTTCTCAGTTGTAACACTTACAGGAGGAGGATAAGGCTCAGAATCAGTGAGCTGATGAATATTTCATTTACCCCAAGTAAATGAAGACCTAATTTGAGCATGCTTTCCTTGAAGATAAAGAGCCTAACAGGTTTCTTCTTTTCCAATGCTATTACATGCATAATGCCTTCAGTCTGAGTTGGGATGCCTGTCTAGATCTTGCCATGTCTTTCCATTCTGGAAGAGGCTTAGAGTACTAGGACTATCTTATACCCTCTATGAATTAAGTGAGGAATCTGACAGTTGCACTGAAAAGATACTAAGGATGTCTCAGCACTTACCTTCAGAGGGAATTCAAGACTCACCTGTAGATCACTGTGTGTAAATCAGCCATTAGCTGGAGGTGGTTGGAATGATGGATGTGCTGTGTAGGTTGGCAGTCAATGCTCTTGGGGGTTTGAGGTCTTCCCCAGCACAAGCTTATTGTGCGTGTGTTCATAGGTACTGAATGCTTTGCTCGGTGGAGTGGAATTTAGGCTGCAAACTAAACAGCAGTTTTGGTCTGATAATGGAAGTTAACTGGCATTAAGTCATCTAATTAATTTTAGACTACTCAGCTAGCTGTTTTTCTGTGCCCTTCCAAGGATTTTAATATCCAGAATGCACTCTAGAAATAAAGGAAATATGAACATTTCAAGCCTATTACATTGAAGACATCTGTGAGTCTTGTTTCTTCAATGTGGCTTTATAAAGATATATTGAGTAACTGAAAGTGATAGATAAAAGAACCCACCATTTCTGTATATAGCAGAAAAGATGTTTTCTCATTTGAAAATTGGTGGCAGCTTTATTGCTTTAGTAGAAATACCAATTGTGTAATGGGTTGAAGGTCAACTGAACATGGAGGAGGGCTGCATTAATCCTTCTCATAATAGGGTCATTCCCATGGGCTCAAAATAATGCAGTAGGTAAATTTACAGTAAAACACGAAGTAATTTTTTGTGTAGTAATTACAGCAATGACAAAGGAAAAAAGAGGCCTGACTACTGTAAAGCTGAGTTAAAGACTGCAGTCCTGCTGTTTCTGCAGAGCCAAGCACTGCACTTGTACTATGTGTGTGGTAACTGTCCCTGCCATATCGCTGCCAACAAGTGCTGGTTTAGCTGTTGGGATGGCTTAATGCAGGTAAAACAGACTGCACCTGGCAGGAGCTGTGCTCGTGTAACAGCTCTGGCTTGCTTGGCCTTGGTTCTGAACAGCCACTGTGCTGGGCTTTGCCAGCACTCAGGGAAGGGACAGGTACACTGCTCCATTTGATCAACTCTACCAACCATACCTGGGGGTGAGGCCAACGGTGAAACACTCACAAAAAGCTGAGATGCCAGATAAGCTGCCTGTCCTTGGAGTAGGAGAAGATACAGCATACTAATTGTTGGATGCATGGCCATAAAAAACTTGGAGAACTTGGTATATGAAATAACAAACACACACGTGATTGTATTTAATAACTGCTTATTTCTTTACACAAACAGTTGCTGGTGTCATTTTACAAATGGAATGGCAACAAATACTTTTTACAGGGTAATGACTACAGCTAAAAAGTGCTTGTCTTGGCAGCTGAATTCAGGCTGAGGATCCTTTTGTAATACAGCCAATTATTTTAAGAGCTCGGTCAATGACAAGTAAAAGACTGTACAGATAAGCTGTTGAACCAAAAAGTGACACATTTTGACTTCGTATCTTGGATATTAAGTAATTAATACTAAGTAGCAACACTAACATGTTTAAAAGGCACTTTTTTCTTTACTGAGGCTTAGCTTTACCTTTGAGTCTTTTTGGCTTTCTTTGAAACACTAATTTTTTTAATAATAGCTTTTCAAGTTTGGAAATGTTCAAACCTCCCCCACAGAGGCATTGGTCCTACGGAGACAGACACACTGATGAAGTATCTGGGGTAAGCAGCTGTTCCAGAGACTCTGGCTTTCTAAAGTCTACCTTCATTATTGGTATTAGCAGAGGCTTGTTTTTCAAAGCACTGACCACTGAATAAATCAGTCATGTGAGAGGAGATCACTGCAACAGAACTGGTATTAAACAAGAGGCTTTATAGCACCACAAATAACCTTTGGTTAATGTGTCAACTGCCTCACAGTTGACCTGCCACTGAAATTTTGAGGGACAGATTTTTCTGAGTTGTATTGGGAATATTCCAGTTAACAAATGTACTAAATACAACCCAACCTGTGCAATTTTAAAAAGCTAATTGCTGCCCCTAAGAGGAGAGAATAGTAGTGTGGCTTTATCTGCCAAACATGGCAAAAGGATTGTTGGATTACTGTTCTTCTGTGGTCCCCACTGTTGTTGCACTTACTCAAGTCCAGTTAAAAAAATGAGGCATTTCTGTGTCCTGGATAACCCCGGCTGTAGAAGGGTCCCCAGAGCTCTGTTTCTGTAGAAAGTAACACTTGTCCCTTCCAGGAAAAAAGGATTCACATTCCAGGAAGGACTCTGAAATCCTTCAAATTGAACTATGTGTTTACTGCCAATCTGATTCAACTGTACATCCTCACTTTGTATTTTTTCCTGTTCTGTACAGATTCTCTCTGCCAGCTCTTGTACAACTTGTGTCTAGCAAAAGGAATAATTAAGAATTTTCTAAATTGTGTTTTAAGAAATGTGTACCATATATGCTCTTAAGCACTGACAGTCTGAAATTTGGCAATGGATGTAGAGAAAGAGTTAGGACTCCCAGAAGATTTATACCTGAGTGCAGAACCTCCTATTCTACAGCTTAATAAGTAAGCAAAGTACTCGGGGACAGGTGGGGCCAAATGAAATTGTCCAAAGAGAGCACAGCAGAGGGTCAGCAAAGCACAGCAGAAGGCCTGGGCCTGCTGGAGCTGTGGGCCAGCCTTCAGGGACCAGGGACTGTCCGTCCCTCCTGCAAAGGGAAAAAGGAACTGAGAAATGTTAAGTGTTGCCTTAACTGAGCAGCTGACTGATCTCCTTGTGAATGCAGACAAGGAAATCCACATAAGAAGCTCCTCCATAAATACTCTTGTCTTCTACTAGGAACTGTCGGAAAAGCATCTCTGGCTGTTCCCGTTGCTTCACTATAATCAGCTGAAAAGAGAGGGAGATGTTAGAATACAGTCATACTACTAGATGGCAGTAGTTTTCTGTGTCTGTTAGTGGAGGCTCTTGAGGTAGGGAAAACCCCCCAAACAAATAAACCTTCACATTTTAGTAGCTGTATTTATGAACATAGGAGAAATTAATGTGAATTAAGCATTGCAGAATAAAATAGTTACCTTTTAGACTTGACTACCTTTGAAAGTCAGTTTTGATTAGGAATTAAGCACACTTGAGATGCCTGTGCCTACAAATCATGCTGGAACTCATCGATGTGCAGGAAAACTTCTGATTGGTAAAAAACCTTTTATAGCTACTGGTAAGTTTTGACAAAGTCTGTAGTGTTCTTCTGAACAGGTATGAGGCAGAAACAAGTTACCTTCATGGTGTGGGGCTTTTGGCTCTGGATTTGCTCCAGGATATGCTTCAGTTTCTTAGAGATTGGATTGTCCAGGTCAGGCAAGGATGTCTGTTAGAAGGGAAGCATGGCAGGTGGTTATTTTCCAGTCACATCTCTTGCCAGTTCACACAGACAGGACTAGCTGCTGATAGTTATGGTGTAAGGAGCTGTGGATTTCATTCTAAAGTGGCAAATGCCATCTCCTTCACAAAAATGTCTTATCTTGAGGACTCACCTGGCTGAAGTCATTTTTCATAGTAAAACAGCCACTGTATGAAAACTCATTGAGCAGGAGAACCTTAACTATTGCAAAATGTCTTGTTCCAATTTTATTAGGAACAGTTATTAGGACTTCATAATATCTACAACAGTCAAAGTTTAAGATTTAAAGAAGCTGTGAAAGCTTCTGTCCTGGAAATGTTCAGAGTGTAAAAGCTTACAGTTTATGTAAGTTAAAACACTCCTGGTGTCTTAACACCTTCTGCTGGACACCTGTTTCTGATTAAATACTCCAGTTAGCATCTGGTCCCACTAAATCCTATATCCTTAGTGTGCATGTACTCACGGCATCGGTGCTGATGTGTGCGAAGGAGGGCACATTGAAGAGCCCTTGGATGAGCTCTGGGGACACGCTGGCTCCCAGCCACAGGAACATGCTCAGCCCGTTGGCCAGCAGGAAGGCCCCTCCCTCTGACAGACGCTCCTCGGAGCAGCGCACAGCAGCTGGGACAGCATCACTCTTCAGATCCAGGCTGTGCTGGGGGGGAAGAGATACACGGGTTGGAGAAGCAGTGACAGAGCTCTAAGTAGATAGAATGGCTGAAGGGTTTAGAACATCGGGGTGGTTCCTTTCCAGGTAAGGGATGAATGTGGATGATTTGGGGGTTTAGGGCTGTTTCTTAGTCCTTTGGAGGTTTTTGCTGTGTCCTGAATTGGAGGGATTTGGGGTTTGGGACTGAATGTGTTGTGGAAGTTGAGATGGGATGGACAGGAGGGGGGAGACCCCTGTGTATGGGCTTCACCCCTTGTTTTGGCCCTGTGAGGGGGTCTCTCCTTTCTGGGGAGGAGGGACTGACCAGATGGACAGACAGACACGCAGATATATGGACAGACAGACAGCGACAGGCAGACGGATGGATGGACAGACAGACACACAGACAGCTGAACAGGCAGGTGGACGGACACACAGACATAGAGACAGCAAGAAATGGATGGACGGACAGACAGATGGAGGGACAGACAGACAAATGGACAGATAGAGGGAAGACAGACAAAAGGAAGAAAAAGAGATAAAAAAGGGAAGGGAAAGGGAAAGGAAAGGAAGGAGGGAAAGGAAGCAAAAGCAAGCTATCTCACTTGCTCCAGACTCACAATGGGCAGCAGGCAGGGGTAGAAGAAGAGCTGGGTGTCAGCCACCCCCATGGCCATGACCAGCTGGCGGTGGAAGGCTCTCTCATCCGTTGGGATTTCGGCTCTGCCCACCAGCACATAGCTCTTCAACAGGCAGTTCATGTACACGGGCAGCACCTTCATTGTGTCTGGCAAGATCAGCTGAGAAAGCAGACAGAGTATTGTGCCATATAAACCGTACTCATTGTCTTAGCTGCGCTCAGCTCCCTGTAAACCCTGCCTATTTTTCAGCCCTAAATTAAAGGAATTCTCTGAAAAATTAAGGAAGGAAATAAAGGTCCACAATAAGTGCTTCTGGTTTTGTTTCTGGCAGATTCGGGCCTCACTAACAACGAACAATTCATTGCCCACGCTTGTGATTCTGAGTCTTCCGTGAAGTTAAATCACCAGGACACGAGTGAATAATTTAAAAGGAAACAAATCAATCAGTCTTGTCCAAAATCAGAATATTACAAACCTCTTCAACAACAATTAAAAATGAAGACTTTGTGAGTCAGTGTGTAACTGCACCCAGGCTGACTGAGCCCCTTTGTGTGAATATGGGCATCAGTGTCCTCAATGGCATTGCCTTTTGTTCCAGAACAACAGCTTCCAGGAGCTCTAAGTGCAAACATTAATCCCTCCTGTCATTAATTATATTTGAAAGAAAAGCGCAGATCTGCCCTGAGATGTTCCTTTCTGTCTGTACTAATGGTGCAGGGATGAGGTTCACCTGAGGCAAAGCCTGGCTGGGGAGGACAGTGTGGGTTTTACCTGGCTGACAGTGGCAGGGCTGGCACAGTTCTTCTTGTAGCAGGCCAGCATGTGAGCGGTCTGGTTCACCAGGATGTCTCGCACCGTCTTCAGGGGCTGGCTCAGAATGGCTTTAAAAGCTACAAACCCACAATAGAAGAGCTTGGTACATGGAGATGGACACAGCCTCTCAAAGTATCTATTATCTGTTGTAGCTTCTGATTTCACTGACCTGAGGGCTGCCTGGTTTTTAGCCCCTCCTATGGACAACCAAACCCCAAACACTACGGTAGGATGTCCATTGGCACTACTGTGCCTGCACAGTTCTGTGCATTACCTACACACCAGCATTACTTCTATGGCAGTTTGTCCAAAACAGGAAATTATTTGTCTT